ATGTGCTAGTGTACATATACTCAGGATACATAGTAAGAATCAAGGTATTCAAGCTACAGGATGACAATTACAATCTACAGGATGTAAAACCACTACAATCTATACAACATAATGATAGTAAGACACTATTGAGATCAGGAAACAATACACATTGTATGGAACAAAGTACAGAAGTTCAGAGGGTGACTTCAAGCCAGAGAACAGGTTCAGAACCTGGACAATCTGCTCAATCTGCTCAATCTGCTCAAACAGATTATCATACCACTTCAAGGGAAAGTGAAGGCAATACACATACAGCTAGCAAATATTAGAGTGATAGTGAATTAGCAATGATCAAACAGACTATTTGAGCATTCAGGCATGATACTTTAATGCTACAGAAGGAAACAGAGCATCAGGACACTCCAGGACATCTATTGAACAATGATACAGTAGTTACAATTGGTTTAACGTACAAAAACACACAGAAGACCTCTCCAGACACTACAGATATGTTCTAGGACAGTACCAGACGTTTTACACCGAAAATGAAGTCATATTTCAACAAGAGGGTGAGAGGCACACACATTGTATTGTATACACACTCTTTGAGTATACAATCATGTTTGAACATACAATTTTCTTACATGGATTGTTACAGAACGATTTCACAAAGGACTTTACAGTACCAGACAGTATTAGTACTATAGGAAACAGGACACATGATAGGTACACAAGGAAAGAATACATTAGAACAAGGACAAGGACACAGAAAGACAGGAAGTCAGTGCTAGAGTACATTGATCCACACATGGATTTGCCAAATGAACAAGGAATTGGCAGCATATACTCAGGACTTCAGGCAGTGCTACTGTACATACAGACAGGACATTTCATGGAACAACACAGCATACAGACAGCTACAGCACTCAGGAAAGTAGAGAATGCTACTTGGACATTTTGTGATAGAACATCATACTATGAGACAGTGAAAGTATACTCAGACAATTTAGGAATTGAATCAGTCAACTTACAAAGACACAAACGAGTCAAGACACAAGGAAACAGTATGAGAACACAGTAGGACATTCGTTGCACACAGAGATATCACACATATACTCACATATCTAGTAATATTAGGCTCATACCTTACAATCTCATTGATTTTGAGACAATATTTTCATTCAAGGACAAATATTACACTCTAGGTTGTACTCTGCAATTAGTATTTGGACATCAGGCTCAACAGGATATCCAGTTTTGCATCACAGTTGGTTATTGCATACAAAAGAGTACACATTTGGACATATTCTATCAATATGAGCACAAGGCATTACATTTGCAGGAACTAGTCTATTGGAAAAATCGAGGACATAGCAGAGGAATTTTGGAATACATCTCTGCTATCTATTATTGTATGACTATTCTACAGGAGTAGAGAAACACACAAGGACAGTAAGAAGCTACAACACTAATCCATTCTATTGAGGAAGAAGGCTATAGCTTTGTCAATCAGGGATTTACCTCTACACTTCCCAAAGATGCAGGAGAAGAGAATATTTGCAATTACCATGCTGCTGGAATTTCCACTTCTGTACATATTGATCTACACTGTGTGTCTCAGAGTACCCAAGAGCTGAAACACTATATCTCCCCAGGAACTCTACTGATTCCCTTCGAAAAGTGTTGTATTGATAGCAACAATCAAGAGGCAACTTTTCTACTAATTGACTATATAGTAATATTGACTATGTTTAATTCTATTAACGTTTTATCTAGTTTCACATGGTTCAGAACCATGCTACTCACTGTCCAGAACACCACTACTGTCTCAATACTCACTGGATCGACTTTGGATCAGTTCAGAGAGGCAGTACTACATCATGAGGATGTTTCCCATACGCATGGGCAAGGTATTTTATTATTTACTTGTTACTAACTGTTACTTTAAGTAAGTTCTCTACCTTTTCTACTGATTTTTAGCATTTAGGACTAAATGCTAGAGGGTGAGTGTAAGGATTTGATTTACTGGTTTGTATTTTATTACTACTACATTGCTGATCGTGTCAGATCATTGCACAGTAGGACCTACAAGCACATATATTCTCATTGTAGTTAGTTACACTTCCTCCTCATGTATCTACACGTGTATACCCTTATAAAAGACAGTATTGACCACTGGGTAAAGGGGATTCTTTTCCCCTGACCCCTTGCTCGAGTACTAGGTTATCCCAGTCAGTAGTTGAGTAAACTAAGGGCGATTAGAATTCTCTTGTGAGGAACAGTGAGTTTCCTTACACTATTCTATACTTGACATCCTTGATAGACTCACACTATGTGTCTTTACATTCCCTAGTACTGTCTATAACACTATTTAAAATAATAGAAGTAGTGGCTACTACTCACCCCTCCTGAGCCAAGTCTGTCTACACCTTACACATTACCTTCTCCCTTCAAGCCAGAATGTTCTAGAGATACACCTTGTAATTAATGACTCAGTTTACTATACCTTCTATTAGACACTATAGATAGACAATAGAGTACATACACACAGACATGATTTTGTCTACAGTCTGAACCTGCTTGTTTAACACTCTGGATCTCAATCTGTATACACTAATCACACTCACTACACACTGTTACAGTGTGTCCATCTTTTCTTACTTGTTACCACTCACTAATCTAAACCTGTCTCACAGGCACAGCTCTCCCTTTAGGCTAGAACACTCTAGGAATACACTCCTTAGTCAACAGTTCAGTTTACTGTACCTCTGATTACAAGACATAGTCAGAGTATACAGTGTACATGTACAGATGTAGCTTCACCTACAACCATTCCTATAGTACTACCTCTCTCTAATGCTATACATGTTCTACTTCTCCATTCATTCCATACTTAACATCAACCTTGACAGGTCCACCCTACTTCTATTTACATTCCTTGTTACTGTCTATAACACTATATTGACTGGATACAGTGGCCTACTACCCACCCTGCCTGAGATGAGTTGAATCTGTTAACACCTTCCACTTCACCCTCATCCTTTAAGCCAGAACGTCCTAGAGATATACTTTTGTAGTCATCCACAATGACTCAGTTTACTGTACCTCCAATTGTGAGACATAGCCAGAGTATACAATGTGTACTTACAGACACAGCTTTGCTTACTACTCAAATCAGTTCATTCAATGCTCTGGATATCAACCCTGGTGCACTACTCACACTTGCTACACACTGTCACAGTGCATTCATCTCTTTACTTCAAGCACCTGTACTTGCTAACAACCCCTTGCCCCCTTAACAAGTCAACCTCCAAATCTGCCTCACAGGTACAACCTTGACCTCTGCAATCTGTACAATCTCACAATCCATACACAATCCAACTTGCAGGGACTGAGAGACAACCAAGGTATAGTGACAAAGACTACCTCAAACAGCTGAGGAACACATTTGTTCTCTATTGTCAATACACTTGCCATCTGTTGTCAGATTATTTCCCTAATTGTTGTAGATAATAATGTATTTATACAATATTTCAATATAATTATAAACTGTTATTTCAATAACAAATGGATATAAGGAAAATTTTATCTTATACATCTTATATTTATATGTTTTCCTTGTTAAAATAACAAGTATTATAATACTTAGCCATTTTGCAAGGTACACTTTAAGCACTTGTATATCTTAGTAAGTACTACAATTCTTATTATTCTTGACCAGAAAGTCAAGACTTTTTAATAGCTTTCTTAGCTTCTTATTACCTTCCTAAAACCCCTAGGTACACAATAAGCTCTTATACATAATGTAGAAAATTTATATAATTTATATGCATATAAGCTAATACAAAGTTTGAGATATTTTCCTGATGGAGCTGTACACAACAATGACGTTGACAAAGCCATGGTGGGTTATCAGAGTATCTGGCCAATTAAGTAAATAAATAAATGCAGGAACTTGGACGGCCCTTTTGCGATAGTTCTGTAGATGCTCCAAGTCGAAATCCACCTAACTGTCAACATGTCACAGCCGATGAGCATAGTGTAACTTATGTAGAGTCTAGACTTGGAGTAATTGTCTCAGGAACATCAACATAATATGTGATGTAGAGGAAGTAGTAGAGACCTCTCTGGTTGGCATGTATAAGAAAATAACTGTAAACTTCCAACGTAGCATCATTCAAGAACTTCTTCCTTGTTTTTAGGTAGGACTTCATGAAAGAAGCATCACTGTAATATTCCACAGGCTGTGTGGTCTATTCGCATTGTCAATACCAACACGAACATAAGTGTACAATGAGCCAGAACGCTACAGAAGACTGTCGGAGGAATTCAGGGATATGTTGTTGCACGGAGCAATTTCGTTGGTGACAAGCTGTATGCCTTGCACTTTGCTCTTGCCATATAAGGACAGTGGTTCCTTTCCTTGAAATGTTTCGCGAAGCCCGACTGAGGTATGCAAAGTTGGAAAAATGTGTGTTCTTGTCACGAACTGGTTTGCTTACAAGAATTAAGGGGAGTTTGTGTGGTGATACGAGACGCCCTGCTGGGCTTGTATGCTGTACGCAAATGGCGGAAACAGGTCGTCAGTCTAAGGAGCATAGGCGGCATAGTTACCAGGCGGGACAATCATGAAATCATGCGCGATATAAGTGCGAAGATCATTCTCCTTCTATTAGTCCGTCATCTCCTTCCTGGAAATAGAACTAGTGCTAAATGATAGGAACGTTCGTGAAGTTGAATCTACCAGTTAGTAGTGATATTCATTCACAGCTTACGTTGATATTCGACAATGCGAGAGAGTCTGACTAACTGTGTCTTAGAAAAAACTGACGAAAATACTATTTGAGCTAGGATAAGGACAAAGAAATCTACAGAACCAGTCTGATAGTTATTACAGGTGCATTCTGCCTTCCGCCTTCTGCATTAGTCAGTATAATCACTCAAGCTAAATCAACAACGTACATTCCTATAAATATACTTGGCAGAATGATATAGGCATAGCTCCACATCCTATATTATCAGGCTCCTGGAACTGCTTCGAAATACCACAGATAATGTTGATTCGTCGCTATTCATGCGCGTTAGTAAAAGAAGACACGTTGCGATGAAGAAGTTATAGAGCCTTACGGCTAGCATTAGCACCAATGCAGTTATCTCCAAGGCATATATAAGCCTTCTGCGGCGCCTTATCGTAGTGAATGGAGACTAGTGCATCGGTGTGCGACTTAGCGAAATCTGCCTTAAACGCCTGTGCACCAGTGTCAAACCCAAGCATGTGATCCGAATGTGCTTGACAGGTGACGAAAGTATCATCTCCACCCCATCTGAAGCGCATTCCCTTATCATGGTTGGCTTTCACTGCTTCGACACTGTCAAAATTGAATGATGTCAGCGTATGGTGTTATCGAATAAGTTAATTGGCACTCGCTTGTTGGCTGAATTCACCACAATCTTGCCGTTGTCTGAATCAAGGAAGTAATAGCGTCCGTCACTGTCGTTCGTGTACAGTACATTCCACTGCAGAGTACGATGGTTAGACTCTGCAATGGATAATAGGCAAGGGTTTGGTATATACGCACGGCCATATCTGCATGGACAGCAGCAAACAAACTAGCGACGAGAAGAGCAGTGGTGGAGAGTATGTTGGAACGCATGGTGTCAGATATGATGGTCGTCAATGATTTTCTATGAGCGTATCGTAAAGTACAGAATGCAGAGATGTCGGCTTACTATTCGTCGAGAATTTATACCACCCATTTTTCATGCTAGCAAAGTAATTATTCTATTTTTCTCCTGCATGTTCTCATCAACGGCGCACCTTACTCTGCTGATTTTTTTCGTAGTCGCTGTGTCCCGAGTAACACAATTCCTGTTGTAGGCAGTCCGGGAGAAAAGTTTCTGCAAAATAACTGACTTCGGCAGGATGCATCGATCTTTGTAAGCACCAGCTAAGCAAAACTGTAGAAAGCCTGCAAAGTGCACCGTTCCTGATGAACGGCTCCCAGGAAGGAAAGTAATTCATGAATTGGCCTTGCTACCAGACTGAGATTCGACCATCCTTCAGTGATTGACAATTAGGATTCGATCCTGAATATTAGGCAGGTGAGCCACAGATAACCTCCTAGAGGTGTTAGTAAGAGGAAGAAATCTACTACATAGTAACATAGATACAATATACACATTGGGCATTTTACAATTTCTTGCCTTAAAAAATAACTTACATAATGTTAAACATTATTTGTAATTTAATTTACCATTTCAGTATAGTAGAAATTCAAAATAATATTTTAAGTTTTTTCTGTATTTGTATTGATTATGGAAGAAACTTGAAATTTTGTTCATGATTTCTATCAATCAAAAATGGTAAATTTAATTACAAATAATGTTTAACATTATGTAAGTTATTTTTCACAGTAAGAATTGTAAAATGCCTGATGTAATATATGTGTATGAAACAGGTCATGTGACTTATCCAAAGCACGTGTGTGCAAAGTTTTTAGTATGTTTGTAAACTGTGAAATTCCTTGTTCACAGCTAATTATCCCTAGTATAGTTACACTGTGACCTTTCAAGCAGCTATCTTGCTTTGTTTTAAGGTAGGCCATTAAGAGGTTCCTTAGTATTTTCCTGTAAAATTTGATAGAGTTACTGTTAGGATTGTAGGATTAGACCTATTTCATTTTCTTCATATCTCTGTCAGTTTTACAAAAAACCAACATTACTACTGGATTTTCATAATCCTTGACATCTCATCTATTATTCTACAAAGTTTCATGAAGATTGTCTTAGTATTGAGTGTAGGAGAGAGCTATAGAGACACAAGGTAGTGTATACAATTATAATACAGCTAATCCATTTCTTACTCAATATAGTAACTTGTGCCTCTTTTGTGTAATAGCCTCTTAGTCTATATTCTCTAATACACAACACTTTCTTAATTCTTCCTAGCCTCTGATGTGCCTGTTGGCTTTACAATATTTGTCCTTATTATTTCTTTAATCTTATTCTTAAGTTTTATTCCTTACTTTACTCTTATTATTTAGTTATTATAAAAAGTAGTCTGTAAATACAGTAGTTCCTTAGTTTTTTGACTCTTCTTGTATTCCTACTCATTCTCTTAGTATAAATCCTAGCTGGTAGCTTTGGGAATATAGTTGGATTAAGGGCTATAGGTCTATATTTACAGTTTAAGAGTACAGTCAATAATCTTATAACAAATACAGTAGTAAGGAATATATCTTATAAGGAATAATTTTTCCTGGCAACAGACTCAGTGTACAGTAAATTATTCCAAATATTTGCTATAGAATAACAAATAGAAAATTTTCAGATTATTCCTTAGTAGATGTTATTTGTATACCAAAAATTGATTAGCTTGTACACTAAATGAGACTAAATTGTTTACAAATTGAAGCAAAAAGTCTAACAGTTCTATAGAACATGGAAAATAAGCTTTATTAATGCCTAAAGGAGTAAAGAATCTTAAGATATAGTACTGTCAGAAACAAGTTACAGAGCTAAAGAAAAAATGCAACACATACCTATACTAAGGATACCTTCTCCTTGTTATTACAATAAGTGAAAAAAAGTGCAAACCTTGTCTAAAGCCTACTCCTTATCCTCCATGCTGAGAAAAAGATCAAAATGCTATAATGTTATCAGCTGTTACAAAACCAAAGTATAAGAGACATAATCTTACTAACAAAGACTGGATTAATATTATCAGTTTTATTGACAAGAACCCACAATTGACTCACTATAGAATAATCAACCACTTTAGTAATACTAATCAACCAGGAGGGGCTCTTATCTTCTCTCAGAGTGTATTATCAAAGCACTTGAGTAAGGAAGGAAGAGCTACTCTTAAGGCACAACTACAGTCTGATCAAGCTAATATTCTGTCAAAGTGTCACAAATGAATTGTAACAAATCCAATCATTAACAAGGTATTATGGTTGTAGTACTTACATATGGAGGAGAAGGGTAAGGGTATTAATAGGGCAATATTAGCTGTAAAGCATTAGTAGCTGGAGGAAAGAATAAGAATACCTGAGGGGGAGCAGTTGACAAGTACTAGATAGATACAGTCATTTTGTAGAGTGTAAGTAACTAATCATTATTATTAAGTATAACTACTCACTTGTCTTTAGGTATAGACTGAAGAACTGGAAGAGGCATAGGGAGGCTGGTTCTGTAAATCAGGATGATGTTGTTAAAGAGTAAGAATGCCTCATACTTATTCTTTCCAAGTATGCTTTAAGAGACTAGTAGAATTTTAATGAAACAGGTCTCTTTACATTATAAGTTTCAAGTTTAAATGAGTATAAAGACATACCTGACATAGTTTTATAGTACTCTGTCAGACAATAGTCTTGCTTGACAGTAGATGTCTGGCAAAAAAGTAAGCAGGTTTTGCATTACTATTGAACTTGCTTGTAATGTAGATAGGAGTGAAAAGTTACTACTCTTTTTCATTAGAAAGTCCAAGCACCCTTGCTACTTTGGTCCTAGGAGTACAAAGTATGACTTTTATTATTAGAATAATGATTCAGCTTGAATAACAGTATACCTTTTCACTGAGTGAGTTAGCCACACTCTATCTGACTACAACATCCAGAAGGAGTCAACTAAAGTATAATAGGTGGATTAAAACATAAGATCTTGCCTTTAGATTACAAAACTAGCATATCTTACTTTTGTTAGACAACTTCTCAGGTCACATTATTGATTACAAGTCTACCAACATTTGCCTTGAGTTTTTTGCTCCTAATTTGACATCCTTCATCTAGCTACTAGATGCTAGGATCATTCAGTACTTTAAAGCACATTATTAAAAGGTATTCTGTCTTTAAGCAATTGAGTAAGACAATACAGGTATTAATAACATATACAAATTGAACTTACTTGAAGCTATCCATATGACAAAAGTAGTATAGAAATCTGTGTCTCTAGAGACTATTAAGTACTGTTAGAAACATACAAGGATTTATAGGTAAGAAGGGCTGTAAGTAAAAGTACTTTTTATTATATTGTGTTAGTACTTACACATGTTTAGTTGTAACTCAGTAGACATGACACTAAGCTAGTCTACCAAATCTGCTCATAGTACTCTTGTCAGTGACAGTGTAGAGGGGACCCAAAGGCTCAGTGAGGGGACCCAGGCTACAACTATCCTACACAACAGAAATACAGAATGTAAGTACTAGAACATAGTCAGAACTTGTAGAACAGGCAGAGAGAGAGAGTGAGACAAGAGTAGAGTATATAGAGTGAGCCTAAGAGTACAGGACTACCTAGAGTAAATGAGATCAAGACTACTGGACCAGTCTGATCTTGTACACTTATATATACTAAACTACACAAGAGTACTCAGGGAGTATGAGCCACTAAGAATGATAAGCCACAAAGAATGAAAGAAAGGAATGTCAAAGATAAAGGTACAAAGAATGAAGGGATGGACAAAGGGTAAGAGACTATAGAATGAACAGAGAATGAAGGAGTGGTCAAAGGAATAGAATGATAAAGTAAGGAAGGGTAGTAGTAAGAGTCAGCACACATATAGTCTATAGACAGTGCCCCTGAGGGACAGAAGTCCCAAGTTCTAGTACAGAAGGGTGTAGAACCCTTGAAACTGAAGGTAAGAGAGTAGAGGATCATAACATCACCCCCCCTCTAAAACCAATTGTCCTGATTGGTGAACATTAGACTCAGTTAGTAGCTTAGGTATAAGTCAGAATGGTAGGGTTTGGAAATCTGTGAGGCAGAGTTGATGCAGAGCACCCAGATGAAGTTGATAGAAGTCTCAGATTGCTTTAGTAGCATAGGTGAGATTCTCAGTAGGTTCCTAAGTATGTTCTTCAACTGAGTATCCCTTCTAGTAGATAAGGAACTTGAGCTTTCTGTGTACTAGCTTAGCATCTACTATGTACTCTACTTTGTATTCTGGTTTGGAACTGATGAGTTCTAGTAGAGGCAGTAGGGGTCTTTGTTGTAAAGGAAAACCTGGATCATAGTACTGAGACAGTAGAACCTTGTTGAACACTGGGTGTATGTGCTTCTATGTTGCTAGAAGTTGGAGTTTGTAGGTAGAGGTACTAACCTTCTTTTCAATAACAAAGGGTCTGAAGTGCTTGTTGTCTAACTTCTTCATTGAGCAATCTGTGGTCAGGTTAGTAGCTTCTAGTATAACTTTGTCACTAGGCTAGTAATCCTTAGCTGTAGACTTCTTCTAATCATAGTTCTGCTTTATAACCTGTACTGTCTTTTCCAAAAGAGCTTGTGTGTCCTCCCTGGTTCTGTACATCTGTTCCACAAAGTCTATTACAGATTTGGAACTGCTATTCTGGTTCAGAACTGTCCCCTAGTACAGATGTCTCTCATGATTGAGGAAGAACAGGGACTGTCCTGTTGTAGAGTGTTGCTAGTTATTGTACACAAATTCTGTCAGAGCTAGCCATTCAGACTAATCTGATTACTGATGATTGATGAATATCTGGAGGTAGAGCTTGATCTCCTGATTAACTCACTCAGTTTGACTGTCAGTCTGTAGGTGATAAGTAGTAGAGGGGTTCCCTTGAATTCTAAGAAGTGTATACAAGTCCTGTATGAATTTTGACTTGAATTACAGTCTGTAATCATGAATGAGCTTCTGAGG